CACACACACACACACACACACACACACACACACACACACCCCGCTCAGAGATGGGGGTGCTATGTTGTTCCGCGGGCACCCCCTAACTCCTTCCACTCTGCTTCCCTCCCTTGGGGTGCGTTTCTTCTTCCCCAAACCGCACTCCTCCGCGCCTGCAGGAGGCAGCTCGCCGGTGGTCGGGGCGGGCGAGCGGCTCAGCTCTCCGGGATCCTCCGCAGAGGTGGGGAATGGGCGTTCGGACCGGCCTAGAGGAAGGCAGGGCTTGCTACTGGCGTTCGAAGGGACCGGTCTCAGAAACGCACAGGGGCAGGTCTACCTGTTCTGTAGGGTTGCTGTCAGCGGGCTTCAACGGGACAGCGGTGGGGTGGTTTGTCGTTTGTCGAAGAGTAAGGAAATTTGGTGGCGTTGTGGAGTGCCTTGGGCTGCTTAACCACAGGTCCATGGTTCAAACCCACTCACCACGCCTCAGGAGAAAGATGAGGCTTTCTGCCAGGGACACCCCACAAGCGGTTCTACTCTGCCCTACGGGGTTACTCTCTGCGGCCCCGCAGGGAGTTTGGATGGTGCTTGGACATGCGAGTGTTAATAGCTGACTGAGAGTTTCGGGCTTGTATATGCTTGGCCTTAAAACCGGTGTGTTAGGCACGCAGGCTCCCTCCGCAGAAGAGCAAGGCTCTGCATTCCGCTCCAGGAGCGCCCCACTGCCTCCTTGGGACACTAATCCTTAAAGTGACTGCCCTGGCAGCAGCAGGGGTTCTCATGATCTAATGATGATCTAGTGCTTCCCACACCTCTCAGAGGCTGCCTTCTGGTCTCCCCTTCAAGCACATGGAGAGGGAAGCCGGGGGAACAGTTCAGGGCAAAGGAGTCTGTTTTGCTTTGCAAAGCTCTTCTGAAATAGCCAGCTTGTGGACGATGGTTCCCTTCCTGCCCTGACGTTGGTAGGCACTGCCCCCAGGCAGGGAGGAAGACAGAAGAAAGAGCTGCCACCTTTAAATTGCCCCCTCTCTCAGGCTGGGTCTGACTCCAGTGACCTTTCGGTTCATGGACTGAAGGGCGCCCATTGATGACAATGCGCAAGGGAAGTCTGAAGGGTGGGGACCTGCTTTGGGGTGGCTTCCGCTGAAACTCCACCTAAGAGGCAGGTTTCTGCCAGGGCTGCCACCTTGAGGACACAAGAGCGGGCACCCTGCCAGACGGGTGGCATCTGAGCAGACCTTGTGAGTTCTGTGTGCCAGGATGGGGGTTTTGCCTCACCAAGGGGCACCCACACAGACAGCCAGGCTGGGACTCCCTGACCCCATGCCATATGGTTGAGCTCATGTCTACCCCACTGGGGGCTGAGAGCCTCCCCTTGGGTGGTCCCTGTCTGCTGGAGGGGAGACTTCCCACAGCCCCTCTCTACTGTGGACTGTGCTGGAGGGACATGTCCAGTGAGGCAGTGTCCCAGGTGGCAGGCAAGAGAGGGAAAGGCTTGGTGCCCCAGAAAGAACAGCAGGAAGGAGGCTGGAGGGACAGGGCTGCAGGCAGCCCCCGGGGTTCCCATCCAGGGAGTGAGGAAGCGGCTCCTGTCCCCCAGCTCTCCGAAGCCCCTGTACCCGGAGCCCCCAAGGTCTTTCCCTGGAAGTAAAGGGCAGGGTTATTGGGGCTCTTGGGGTTTTTGTTATTTGTGGGGAGTCAGGGGCTGCGGGTGTTGTCCTTGGTTCAGTGACAGCCCACATGGTTCATTTGGTTTTATTTCGGAATAATTTTAGATTTACAGCAGTTACCAAAACAGAACAGAAAGTTCCCATGTCCTCTTCACTTAAAAAACAAACAACAACAAAAAGCTGTGAAGTCGATTCCGACGCATAGCAACGCTATAGGGCTGGGTGGAACCCCTCTGTGGGCTCGCAAGGCCATGCCACTTCACAGAAGCTGGCGCCCCGTGTTCCCCTGCCGAGGGCGGGCACATCCAGACCCTCTCTCCATTCAGTTAGCGGCTGGATGCTGCCCACCTTGCCACCAGGGCCTCACACCGGCCCTGGATGCTGCCCACCTCGCCACCAGGGCCTCACACCGGCCCTTCACGTCACCTACGGTTCATTCTCACAGAGAGACCGGAAGTGAGTCTTGGCGGAGTACCATTAGCTATTCCACCAACCTTCAAAGAATTTGCTAGTTTTCCCACTACGAGCCTTTTTCTGGACCACAGTCGGGTCCAGGACCTGGTGTTGCGTTCAGTTCATCTGGGACAGTCCCTCGCTTCCGTCTGCATATGTTGGAAAAGTACTAATCGGTTATTTAGGAGCCTGGGGCACAGTGGTTTCGTGTGGGGCTGCTACCCGAAAGGTCAGCAGTTAGAAATCCCCGACCGATCCTCAGGAGGAAAACTGGGCTTCCTCTTCCGGTAAAGAGTTAGGGTCTCCGAGACCCACAGGGACAGGGCTACCCTGTCCTGGAGGGTCGCTATGAGTCAGAAGGGACTTGTTTTCTAGACCATGCCTCCGTTGCGCTTGCCTGATGTTTTCTCATGACAAGCTTGCCTGTCGTTTCACAAGTAATCTTTATTCACTGGTGCAAACTTAGAAAACAGAAATAATGAGCCTCTCTGGAGATGTCTTTAGAGCTTCCTGGAGAGTCACATATACATGTATGTGTTCAGTGGGGATATTCTGTACATGCTTTTCCCTTAAGTGAGCATTGCTAACATCTAGCAGGGAATGAAGGAGCCCTGGTAGCGTAGTGGTTATGCATTGGAATGCAAACTGCAAGGTCAGCAGTTCTAGACCCCCAGCCACTCTGAAGGAGAAAGACGATGCTTTCTACTCCTGTCAAAAGTTATGGTCTCAGAACCCCCAAGGGGCAGTTCTATCCTGCCTTATAAGGTCACCATGAGTCAGGGTCAACTTGATGGCAGTGATCTGTGAGTCTTTGAGCAGGGAATGTGGAACCATGCATGGCTTATATCTGTCTGGGATGTGGGATGGGAGGTAAACAGGGAGGGGGAGAACATTGAGGTAGGTGGGTGGTTCTGATCACAAGACTTTCTGTGGACCTCAGGACAGGCTGCTCTCTCCACCTCTGAGCCCCTGCTCACTTCTACGCCAGTCGGTGACTACAGAGCATCAGGCCTTGGCACCCCAGCAGATTGTCATTCTCAGGGATCAGAAGCATCATGGAGATAAATGTGTTTCTACAGCCATGAGTCCGGAGAGTACAAAACTGGGAGCTCAGGATCACAAGAGGAGGCAGAGGAAGCAGAATCCAGTAAGCTGGATACAGATGTGGTCCATGACCCCGGCAGCCTAGGCTGGGCATGAGAGAGATGTCTGAAGCCACACTTCCCTCCAGCCACTTACCCAAGGGCTCAAAGGGGGCTGTCCCCACTTGTTTCCCTAAGCGCTCATAACACGCTGGCATTCTCTGGCTCCTCTGTACAACATCAAAACCAGGAATTACCGAAAAACCAAACCCACTGGCATTGGGTCATTTCTGACTCACAGGGACTTGTGGGACAGAGTAGGATTGGCCCTGTGGGTTTTCTGAAGCTATAAATCTTTTTTTTCCTTTCAGTTTTATTGGCACATAATCCATGTCGTAAAATTCAATCATCCCATCATGTCAAGAGGAATGGTACAATCATTACCACAATCAATTTCAAAACATTTTCTCTCCCTCCCCCCATGACTGAATCACTTTAAAATGAGCTGTGTAATCACATTCAGTTCTAGTGCTCCCTTCCCCTCCCGTCTTCACCCATTACTCCCGAAATCTCTTCCCGCTCCCCATCTCCCCTCCTACCCTCCTGCTGACCTAGTGGGTAGCAGTCCAACTAGAATAACCCATTGCACCGTATAAACCAAATCAAACTCACTGCCTTCGGGTCAGTTTTGACTCAGAATGACCCTATAGGACAGGGTAGCACCGTCCTGGAGGTTTTCCAAGACGACATCTCTTTATGGGAGTAGGAAGCCTCACCTTCCTCCCAGAGACCAGCTGTTGCTTAAAACTGCTGAACTTGTCCCATAAAATGTGTGCGTTTTCCTGCCATTTGTGGATGCATGTGATCACAAGAGAGAGAGAGAGAGAGAGAGAGAGAGAGAGAGAGAGAGAACTAGTCCATAACCACAAAAGCCCCCCTCATGCTACTCCATCCCTGATCCCTGGCAACCATCTGATCTGACCTCCATCTTCAGAACTTTGCCCAGTGGAGGATGCCACATAAATAAATGGAACCGTACAGCCTGAGGGCTTCTGAGACTGGCCTTTCTTTCTCAGCAGAGTGACTTTTCGATCCATCTGAGTTCTTGCAGGCACCACTAGTGCATTCCTTTTTCCTTGCTGCATGGTATTCCACGCGACAGGTGGCCCATACTGCAGTTCCTTCAACTGTTCTCTGGTTGTGGGACATTTAGTTTGTTTCCAGACTTGAGCTGTGGCAAGTAAAACGGCTATTAAATGTTATGTACAGGGTTTTGTAGGGATATAAATGCTCCTTTCTCTGAGGGGAAATGCCCAGTAGTGGTAGAGTATCTGTAGTTTTTGTTTTGCTTTTTAAAGAAACTGCCTAAAAAATATCCAGAGTGGCTGTGCAATTTCACATACCTACCAGCAAAATAGGAAGCTATTTGAGACTTCAGTATTAAAATTGTTTTTCGTGTTAGCTTATTGCTGACCTCCTCTTCCTCATTTGAAAATTCTATTAACTTCAAAAC